GGGGAGGAGGGGTACTCCGTCAGTTTCAAACCTGGTGCAGAGAAGTCCCCGTGCCACTTCAGAGGAAATTCTGACAAGCACCTATGTGCCGGTCAGCCAGAAATGAATGTCACTGCACAACCTGCTCGAGAATAAGTTTTAGGAAATGGGGCTGCACTGAAACACGTTTTGGAAATCAGATTTGCTGTTTCCTTAGGGGATGCTCTGTGTGACCGCCTGCTTCCTCTGAGACATCAGTCCCTTGCGCATCTCTGCTGGATCTCCAGTGTCTCAGCGGAGTTCACCTGGCAGCTCTGCCCCAGCTGGTCCCTGGCCCCTTTCTGCTGCGAGTGCCAGTCGCTGCCGTCTTATACTCGTAAGTGCTCTGCTCAACCAGTCTTCCAGAAAAGTGCTGGGCGAGGTTGCTTTGATGGTTAGGAGAAAGGGCGGTGCTTCTGTGGGGGGAGCACTGATGACTGGGACAATGGCGTCCCCATGGTCTGTCCCCTCCTCCCAGCCACCTAACTGCTTTGGAGAGCAGGTCCCAGAGGGCCAGCCCCTAACCTGCAGCGCACGTCGTCCTCTGCACAGACCCTGCGACGCATGGGAATAAAATCCACACCTGCCCTGGTCACGGTCCCAGGAGCTGAGCCCCTCTGGCCTGGCTGCTCCACCTCACCTGGTGATCTTCCCAGGCCGCCCCGCGCCCCCATGTCAGCCGGGCCCCCAGTACTCTCCCTGCTGAAACGAGCGCCGCGCAGTGGACTGTAAGCTGGGGGAGCAGTGCTGTGTCGCCTGGCACTGACCACACTCAGTGATGTTGGACAGATGGAGGGACACAGCAGACAGGCGGGAGGCCCTGAGCAGGGGCCGGGGCCTGCGTCCCCTGGGTGTTCAGCGGGAGAAGCTGGTCCTCACGGAGGCTCACAGTCCGGCAGGTTGGCGGCCACCTGGGACCTCGAAGCACCACTTCCCCCGCCTGCACCCCCTTCTCTCACCCCGTGTCTCCCACTAACGCCGCCAGGTGTCAGACAGCGGCCGCCACCGGGACCTCTGCCTCCTCGTCCTTCCCAGGTTGGCCGGCCGCCCAAGCCCTGCCTCTGGCCCCGTTCCCACCGGAACCTCAGGACAAGAAGGGGGTGCTTCTCAGCCGCCCGGGGAGCCCACTCAGCGCTCACCCACAGTCCTGGAGCTTTTCCCTGGAAACGAAGGCGGGATCCCCTCTGCCTGTGGTGGGCCGGGGACTGGGGGGGCCTGAGCCCCTCACTGTGGCCTCATCTCAGCCCCGAGGGGAGAGGTCTGCTTCTTGGCGACTCGGTCACAGCACACGCCACAGACCAGACTCCAGTGCTGCTTGCGCCTTACCAGCCCTGCCCTGTGCCATCGCTCCTTCATTCATTCATTCAGCAAATATCCGCTGAGTGTTCTCACGTTCCTCCACACAGCCGGCCGCACAGGCCTGCCGCTCCCTCTTCTGAACCAAGAGCCTCCGGTCAATGGAAACACAGTCTCTCCTTCAGTGTTTATCCCCCAGAGATCCAGGGGTGACCAGCCTCGGGGGCCTGGGCAGCACCCCTTTGTGAAGGCATCCACAGTTGTTCTAATGCACAGTAGGCTGAGAAGCTGCAGCCCAGCCGGGAGCCCGTACAGCTGCACCGGGGGGAGCGGGGAACACTGGACACGCACACCCCCCACCCCAACCCCACGGTAGTGGGCGGCACTCTGAGCAGTCACGCCCTGTCCCTTTTCTGGTTCTTCCTTGTGAGTCCAGGTGACCAAGGGCCAAGGGGAGCCCTGGGAATGTGAGGGAGGGAGAGGTGATGGGCACTCCAGGCCTGGGGGCCAGCCTCGGGGCGCCAACAGCCCAAACTGCCGTGAGCTCAGGCGGGCCCAGGCTGGAAGGAGGCCCCACCACTTCCCTCTGGCCGCTGGTCCTCACACTTTGCTTACATGTGTATGTGTGTTGTTCTATTTTTAAATCTTCCTGGGGATACAGTACATTCCGGAACATGAGCAATTCGCATGATGCAGGTGGGAAAACCTACAGTTAAATGCTACAAATTATGCATATTACATATCTTACTGTCTGTAAGGAGACCTAACATCACCCTCTCCTACCTGTAGCCTTGTAGGAAACATAGTAATGATGACAATAATAACAATGTTTGTCACTTTGACCCATTCAGCTTGGGGTATTTTGTTACACAGTGATAGATAAAAAGATAAGGGATACAGGCATTATTGTGAAATGTTTTTGAACATTAGAAGAAGCATTCTTTCTAGCAAGAGTTACCCGATGGTGACATGGGGACCAGTGGAAAGAAAGGGACTCCCTTTCCAAGGTGGAAGGGACGCCCTGGCACTGTGACTCGAAGGACTGAATTCTTGTAGCCAGAGAAGTAATGCCCTCATCACCACCACTGCCCGTTGCCCTGGCCAGCCACCCCTCCCACGGTTGCGGGTCCGGGGGCAGCACAGGGTGGCACGGGGCCACCTGTCTCGGGTTCCTCAGAGAGGTGGTCCTGCACTTGGGAACAATGACGGAGGCATGGCACACTCCTGCCACGCTGTCTATTGTCTACCTCTTCCGCTAGCTCAGCAAAAGCCCCCACAATAGGCAGCGTGCAGGAAACAAAGGACCCGGCCCTGGCCGTGGCCCTCCAGGCATCTTTCCTTTGGCAACTCTGAGACTTGATCTCCACCCCAGGACGCAGGAAATTCCCCTGCTCAGCAGCCAGGACGCCATGTCACCTGCATCACACAGGGACTCAAGGAAATCTGGAGCCATCCTGGCCACCCCAGCCATTCCTGGGGCCTGCCGCCTCCTCAGCCAAAACTTCTATTTTGCCCCAAAACGCAGGCCCTCATTAACAGATCTCAGCCCTCGCTGCACTCGGGCCGGGCCACCTCCTGTCACACGCAGCAGTTGGGGTGTCCAGCCTGGCAGCAGGCTCCCAAGGCTCTGCAGCCGGCCGGAGCAGCTCATGCCACAGAGCTCTCCCCCCTGAAGCCCTTGAAGAGCCAAGGATACGGCCGTCACCAACAGACACACCTCACCTGGGGCCCTCCCGAGAGCCCACCAACACTTTCTTTAAAGGGTCCCGGCTGTTTAGGAAGCATTGGTGTAGGGGGATCAGGAGAGAGAGGGGCAGACAATGTGGAGCTGGCAGTCCCCAGTGCAACGTCGCAGGTCCTGGGTGTACAGGGGAGCGGTTCCCGGCTGGCCGCCAGGGAGCCGGACCAGGCCTGCCACCCACTTTGTAGGACAAGGCCTCCAAGTGACATTTCCTTAGTGGTTTTAAGTAAATGCTTTGTCATAATATTTGTTCTAGGTTGCCTTTTATGATTTCCTAAGCTCCTAGGCTGGCTCAAAGAGAAATCTTTGAAAAGAAGACCAGCTTAGCAGAAAGGTCAGGGGTTTGAAAACCAAACAGTGAGCGTAGGCAGCCAGGCTAGACCACGTTGCCGCCGGCGTCATCCTGAGCAGCTACTGACTGGCAAAGGGACTGGCCCCAGTGGCCATGGGCTGGTGCCATCCCCTCAGGGGGCTCCCAACAGAGGCGACCAGGCAGCACCATTCCTGGTGAGACCTGGCAGCACCATGGGTGCTGAGGTGTCAGTGAGCGCACGTGGGTCCGATCCAGCCTGGCACCATCACTTCCTTTGGTGACGGGGACACAGGTCCCAATGCCAAGATGTGTTCACTTAACCGGTGTGTTTATCGTCTCCCAGAGAACAAACCTGGTCTAATTTGGTGGGTTTGAAGCAACTCCTGTTGGCCTGGGCACTTCACCCTCCACTCTCGGAAGGTGCTGCTCGCTGAGGGCCTACTGTGTGCCAGCACTGGCGGCATCAGTAAGAGTCCTGGCCCCACGAGCATCCGTCTGTTCAGCCACTATCCCCACTTCACTGGGGACTAAATGAGGCACAGAGAAGCTGAAACACGCGCCCAGATGCTAAGTAGCAGGGCCCAGGGTGAGCCACGTGTTGCCCCGAGCTCGCTGCACTGGCTCCTACAGGAGGCATGCTGGCATTTGCTTTGAAGACTAAATTTTTAAGCACGGAATTTCACATGCTAGGACTCCCTGGTGACAACACAGGTCTTGGTGGAACAGGCAAGCCCAAAGAAAGCTGACAACAAAGGAATAAATATGGATCTGTGCTGGTCATCGGCTCATAGGCCAAAATTTCTCTCAGCTGGGCGGGCTGGGCCCTGGGCTGAGAAGGTCTTCTTCAGCCTCACCCCGTTCCCGCAACACCTCTTGGTCCCTCTTGTGTCTTAGTCCCAGCACAGCAGGTGCAGCCAGCCAGGTCCAGGCCCTGAGGTGTGATTCCAGGCGGCTCCTGCCAAATCCTGCTGGCGCTGGCCCTGAGGGTGACTTCTGATGACCAGATCCAGGCAGTCACAAGGTGGCCAGCACGCCCCCTTGTACCCACAGTGGCCCAGGGCCGCCCCAGGGTGCTGGGTGCAGGCACCCAAACTGCACAGAGAAGGGGTGCTTTGTTTCCTGCTTTTTGCCCCTCATTCATCCGACCTAGTTGTGCTAGAGCTCCTGGGGGCCCAGCTCTGGCACCACGCCAGCACCCCAGGAGGGAGCGGCTCATCCAGCCCAGCGGGAAGGCCCGCATCGCCCCTTCTCCCGGGCTGAACGGCTGAGCGAGCTGGTGTTGCAGAGGGGAGAGGAGGCAGCTCCCTTCCTGGGGGCGGGAAAGTTGAGAGTACATGGCAAGGAGGCGTGCTGCTTGGGGAAGGGTGCCCGGAAAGAGCCCGTGTCCGTGCACCCCTGCCGGAACTGCAGTTCCCTGGGGCGCTCTCCCCAGCCCACCGATTGCTGTGGGAGCTTGCAGGGGAGACGGGCGGGGCGGGGACAGTGCCTGGGGCCGCCTCCTCCCCCCTCCAGCGCCCCCCACGGCTGGGCACGCCCGCCGTCAGCTCAATGGAGGCGCGGAGCCCAGGAGGGCGCGGGCGTGGGGGGAGGTGTGCGGGGCGGGAGTGCGCGGAGAGCGCGAGAGAGCGAGTGAGCGCGCCGGGCAGCTGTGCGTGCGCTCCGCTCGGCGCCACAGGCTCGGAGGGGCCAGGAGCCGCGAGGTCTGGAGATCGGAGGAAGCCGGGGGCCCTCGTGGAGCCTAGAGCCCCGAGTCCAGAGGAGGAGGGAGCCCCGAGCCCCAGACGAGCGCAAGCCCTGAGCGCTCCAGGGTGGCGCGGTCAGGGTCCCGCACTTCCGTGCTGGAAGGCGCGCCCCCTCGCGCCCTCGCGCCCGCCCCTCGGGCTCCTTCTACCCAGCGTCCAGCCTCGGAGGCGCTGGACAGAACCGCAGACCGGCCGGAGCGCGCCCACCATGAGCCTCAATAGCTCGGCCTCGGCCCCCCAGGGCGCCAACGCCCTCCCGCTGCTCCCATCGGGACTGGAGGCAGCGCTGCTGGACCCGGGCTTCAGCAACAGCTCAGGCAACGCGTCAGAGCCCGTCCCCGCCGTGCCCAGCAGTGACTTGGATGTGAACACGGACATCTACTCCAAGGTGCTGGTGACAGCCGTGTACCTGGTGCTGTTCGTGGTGGGCACGGTGGGCAACGCGGTGACGGCGTTCACGCTGGCGCGCAAGAAGTCGCTGCAGCACCTGCAGAGCACGGTGCACTACCACCTGGGCAGCCTGGCGCTGTCCGACCTGCTCATCCTGCTGCTGGCCATGCCCGTGGAGCTCTACAACTTCATCTGGGTGCATCACCCCTGGGCCTTCGGCGACGCCGCCTGCCGCGGCTACTACTTCCTCCGAGACGCCTGCACCTACGCCACGGCCCTCAACGTGGCCAGCCTGAGTGTGGAGCGCTATCTCGCTATCTGCCACCCCTTCAAGGCCAAGACCCTCATGTCTCGCAGCCGCACCAAGAAGTTCATCGGCGCCATCTGGCTCGCCGCCAGCCTGCTGGCGGTGCCCATGCTGTTCACCATGGGCCAGCAGAACCTCAGCGCCGACGGCCAGCACCCCGGCGGCCTGGTGTGCACACCCATCGTGGGCACTGCCACCATCAAGGTCGTCATCCAGGTGAGCCGCCGCAGCCGGGAGAGAGGGCTGGGGTGAAACGGGGGTCTCAGCTGGGGGCAAGGTTGACAGGCACACCCTCGGGAAGGCTTGAGCACATCTGTCTCCTTTTCCCCAAAATTATTTCCCCGTCTGTGTGCATTCTGGGTACAGGGAGCAGGAGAAAAGCCACCAAGACGTTTTACTCCTGGGAAGCTGGGAAGACGATGGGGGACGGGCCAGGGCCTCGGGAGCAGCCTGAGCGACCTTCCTCCCACCTTTCACCCCAAGCTTGCCAGGCCTCAGCCCCCTTCTCTCATCCCCTCCTTAGGAAAGGGGGTGGGAACCTCGGATCATGACCTCCCTCAGGGGCCACAGATGGGCCTCAGCTGCCTCCAGATTCCCATGTCAGGTGAACTCGCTAGTACTGGCCTCTTCCTGGAAAGAGTCCCTTTCATCGGCTTCTCAAAAATCACTGTGTCCCCAAAAGGCTCAGTTCATCTCCTCTGCAGCAGGTGCCCCCAGACTGCTCCCCAGTGTGTCCCAGCTGCCCCGCCCCCGCCCACACTTGGCAGAGGGAGCTGAGTCTGACGCTTGGCCCAGCCTTGGTTTCCCCATCTGTGGGATGGAGCAAGCGTAGCCCCAACCTCAGCAGACAGAAGATTCAAGAGCGAGCCGTGGGGGGTGCTGGCCTGGTTCCTGGTGCCTGCGAGAGCTCGGCGGCACCGTCACTGTTGGTGGTGATGATGTTGTTTCTGCTGCAAGATCCTGTGGTGTTGGGCGTGGTGGCAGTTGGAGGCCTGTGTGAGGTGGACAGCACTGGGGCCGAGTGGCCAGCTGCCCTCTGGGTCTGAGCGAAGCCACGGGAGCCCAGGTGGGAGGCCACCTGGGAGTGAGTTTGGAGGAGGCGACCTGACCGGTGGAGATCCCAGCCCTGGGCAGAAGGCTTGTCAGGCAGGGGCCACCAGACAGGGGCACCCATGGGGGGAGTTGTGACAGAAATGTCACTTTTGTTGTTGTTTACATTATTTCAATTTCAGTTACAATTGACATGCAGTGTTATTTTATATTCGTTTCAGGCGTACAGCATAGTGGTTAGACTTTTATATAATTTATGTAAAAGTGCCACTTTGAACGGCATTGTGGCCCTAGGACGTGGGCAGCGATGGAGGTCCAGGGCGGCACAAGGAAGGCCAAGCCACAGAGGGCCTGGGCGGAGCAGGAGGGGGGGCCAAGCAGCCGCTGTCCTTGTTTGGCTGCCCCCTCACGCCCCAGCCGCAGCAGCCACCCTGCAGAACCGTCCCCCTATGGCTGCATCAGAAGCCCAGAGGGACGGTGTGCAGGGCAGGGAGCTGGCAGAGTGTGGCAGGCGCTGTGGTCTGCACGTCCATCCCTGGGCTGTGACCACATGGGCAGAATTAAGCTGCGGGCCGGCCTCACCTACCCCGAGCACTGTGGCTACAGGTGCGTGAGTCACTGGCATGGCTGCCACCACGAGCACCGCCACCTTCCCTGAGCTCGAGGTGGACAGAGACGTGAAGTGAGCAGGAATCACCTTCCCACTTCCTCCTCCTCCCCAAGCCCCTGTCTCTGACCGACGGTGGCCTCTTCCAGCCTGCTTTTGGGGGTTGGGAAGCAGCAATGTCACCTGCCTTCAAAGGTATGACGTGGCAGGTTTAGGTCTGCAACTCGCTGCCCACACAGGAGACGCCTCCACTCAGGCCCCCAAGGCTCAGCCAGGAGCCGTGGGGGTTTACAATCATTAAAAACAAACAGCAGAGAAAGGGGAGCACAGCCTCCCCCCCGAAAGTGTCCTCTCTCACTTCCATGGCGCCCCTGGTTGGTCCCATGGAATGGACATGTGATCCTCCACCTCCCAAAGGGCCATTCCTTGTGCCGGAGGCTGCAACACCGACAGCCTGAGGTGTGTCCTGGCCATCCGTCCACAGCAATGGTCTGTTGAGTGTGGACGGCAGGCTGGCCCTGCTACGGCCCCCGTGTTCGCCACATATTTGCAGGCTGCCTGACACCCTCAGAGAACAGAGCCTCCGTATTTCGGTAAAGGTCTCAGCTGCGTGCTTGGGAGCCAATGGCGGGCTGATTAGGAGAGACGCTTGTGCATTTGATGCTGACAGCTCCGCGGAGGCTTCTGGGGTACCACACGCTACCGTTCCTTACAGGGACATGGCTTGGTTCACTGCCTTCCTCTCTCTCTTCTGCTCGGCCAGCTGCCATCTCGGGAGAGATTTCCCCAGGGGTGATGCTCCCCGCCCAGGCTTCCTGGCAACTTGGCAGGTGTGGGCAAGTGTCCACTGGTTTTAAAGTGACATCTGGCTAGAGAGGGGTTGGAAGCCTGCGTCCGTATGTCTCTCTTGTCCGCCGCATTTGGAGGGGTTGGCCGATCAAAATGCCCCCTTTCCACAACAGGACCTCTCCCAGCCTCCACATCTGTGAGAGCCTGTCCTGGGCATTTGCAGACAGTTTGTTCATGTTTAGAATGAGGTGGTTTGGTGATAAGATTTCTGAGCAACTTTGAATACTCACTATGCATACAGCCTGGAGCTGGGGGGCCAATACCAGGGTGAGCAGAGCTCTGGGGGAGGGCAGGGCAGCCCCCATGCCAGCAAAGGCCCTGGACCCTGGGCCGGTCCCTCCTCTGACCCCAATCCTTCCAAACAGACAGTTGGTCACAGGGATGACTTCAGGAGCAGAAGACAATGTTAGGAACTCCTCTGCGAAGCAGGGTGCCTCCTCTACCTCTCAGGCATCTCCCTGAAGTGGCAGCTGACCACATGTGACCCTGCCTGCGTGGGTTGACTTTGAGTCATGCTTGGTCCCCTGCCGTTCAGGCTGTCCCCCTGTTCTGACATCGGGCATGATGTGGGTCCTGCTGTCATAGGCGTGGCGTCGCTGGCTTCAGGTGGGGCAGGGCCATGTCTCAGTGAACGCCCACTGAGCACTGTGAACAGCAGGCATCCAGGGGAGCAGGGAGCTGAGACGTAGCGGCAGAGGCCTGGGGAGTGTGAGCATCCCCTCAGGTCTGACTCCTTTCACTCCAGGCCCCCCCATGCCTCCACCCAGGACTCAGCCGCAAACGTGCTGCCTGCCTCACCCTAACGCAGTCTCTCCAGTGTCGCCAGGCGGGAGCTCATGAGACCTGCATCAGCCCTGGCTGACGGCTCTTCGTGTCATCACGTTATTATTGCCATTTTCCAGGACCCCGGGGCTCTCACAGCAGCTCTCTGCTGGGGGCCCTGCTCCTGGGGCCTCCCTGACTCATCGTTTGCTTTCGCAGAAAACCTCTTTCATATTTAGTGCAAACAGAAATGCTCCTTGCTGCGGTGGGCTGACTTCAGAAGGGGTTGACCAGTGTGTGTGTGTGTGTGTGTGTGTGTGTGTGTGTGTGTGGAGGGGGGGTGCCGTCTCCCTGGGGCAGCTGAATCAGGCAGGGGGAGCGTGTGTCCCGTGCCCACCTGTTCGGAGTCCAGAGGCATGTCGGCCCAAGGTGGCATCGTGAACACCAGGCCATAAAAGTGATGTGATCCTGCGGAGACAGCGGCAGCCAAGACCTATCTCCACAAAGTGGAAAAAAATTGGCTCTAGTGAAATCAGGCCACTGATCTTTTCTCAGTGTTTCTGTCCTGTGCCATCGGCTGCAGCCAGAGACGTCCTCCCCGTCCACTCCTCATTTACTCTCTGCCTTCACCTGCCCGTAAACCAGACACTGACCCTCGTGGGTGAAGTTTGATGAGTCACAGGGTCCCCACAGAAGCAACATGATGTGGAAATGTGGCAGACTCCAAAGTGAACACCCCCAAACTGGCTCCATTGCTCCAGGCACTGAGGGCACAGCACCCCCACCCAGAACGCGGACCGTCCATCCCATCCCTCAGACTCCTAAATTGAGGGATGTTCTAAAACCAGCTGGCCTGCGCTCGCCATGTGCCCAGGCCAGGAAAGGCTGGGACAGGCTGTACTGAAGGGGACTCAGGAGACGGGCCACTGCACGCAGTGTCTGCTCGTCACTGCACATTGACAAGACTGTGGATTGTTACCTTCCTTCGACGAGTGTTGATCCTTGTTTCAGCAGTTGCAGACTTGAACTTGTGCGCGCTCACCTTTATGCCTCATTGGTGCGGCTCTGTGGAAGGCTCAGGCCCTTCTAACTTGGAAGGACTCACATCCAGTCAGTCTGTCTAGGGCTTAGTAGGGCGGGTCTAGAGTAGGCTTTCTCCCAGGGCATGGTCCTTATCCTAAGTGTGGGCTTGCTGGCATCTCAGTGGGATACTCCGTGTTAATGAGGCCTCGCCCCTCCAGCTCTTCTAGAATGCCAGCCGCCCTCCCATAAGCCTTCCAAGGTTTTGGTGTGTGCGCACACCCCCACCAGCCCGGAACCCACAGGCGAGCCCCTCACAGGCTTCTGTGAGGCCCCCTTCTTCGGTGCCTTTCTCTGCAGATTCAAGCCACTCCTGCAGCCCCAAGCTCTGGTTTTTACCTCCTCCGCTGGGACAGCCACACTCTGCCCAGACTCCAACTCTTACCATCCCCATCAGGAAAATGTCCCCAAGAAGAGAAATGGGTAACAATGGGGCTCACCTCGTGAATTTTCCCTGCTCTCTGGAACCACAGTCTTGCACTGTACTTGTCCAGGGTCTGTAAATAATCACCTGATGCATTCTGTACAATTTTATAGTTATTCCTGACAGAAGAGCTAGTCCAGTACCCCAAGTGGAAGCCTGCAGTGGAGTTTAAACACTGCCTGCTTTCAAAACTGTCTGAGGCAGCTTATGATAAAAGACTTTGGTTCAAAGAAATTATTAAAACAATGTTGCAAAAGAAAACATAACAAGAAACATAGTTATCCCAGAAACAAAGTTGAACTTAACCGTTGTCTGTGAGTAGTAAATCTTACACTGAGGCTTATGAAAAAGAGCAACATTATTTGTACTTAAACATTTTTAGCTCATTGTCTGTTAAAAGGTGAATTTATTGTAAATTCCAATAACTCTCCCTTGACATATTTA